TCGGTATAGATAGATTTTGGTATATTAGAGATTTGGTGTATATTATTTTAGGGCTTTTTTGTATCTATATATTGGGGTTATGGTAAATCTATATGACGTATTAAGCTTTTTGGGTGAATGAGAGGTCACATATTTGTCGTGGTATTAAAGTCCGGTTAAAAGGGTGAAGGTCGTATTATTTATAAATGGAGTTTATATTGTATGAGAAAGTTGATGTCATTAAAAAACTAAACCAACAAAAGCTCTATTTGGTGGACGGAGAAAATGTAGATAAAGCGAAGAGGAGAGAAAAAAGTCAGCTTTGGCGGACTGAAAACAACCCTGAGCAGTGTATGGGTGACGAAGCAACCATTCTCAATCAGAACCCTAAGATCTAATCGCTTCCAGTTCCTATTCCTGAATATAGAAGACAAAGATAAAATCCTTCAAGGGAAATCCTGGACATTCGATGGCCAGTACATCCTACTGAAGGACTGGAGTCTGAGATCCACGGATTTCTCTGTGGAGGACGAGAGAGTTAAAGTATGGGTTCAAATCCATAACCTACCCCTGCATTGTATCTCAGGGGAAGTGGGAATCAAAATTGGACGAGCCATAGGTTCAGTGGTGGATGTGTATGTCCCTGGACCAAACAGTAGTAACGGCTGTCTAGTTAAGGTCCTGGTGGAAATCAAACTTGCAGACCCGATCTCGAGAGGTACTTATCTCAGACTGGGGGGGTAGAAAATCATTGGGTGGACTTTAGGTATGAAAATCTCCAACATTTTTGTTCCTCAAGGTGATAATATATCTATAAGACTATAACAGACTTGCATAATTCCTCTAATCTTATAGAGATAAATGTGCAACAAGCTGTTAAAGATATAGAACAACCTAAAAAGGTGATCAGAGGTTTTGTCAGAAAGGCTAGGTATAACCAGGACCCTAAAGGAGAGGACATGATCCTTGATAGGTCCCTGAACACTTTTTCCCTTGCTGTTTTTGGAGTTAATAATAATAAGAGATCCATAGATAATAGGGAGGATACAAGATTAATCATTTTTAGTGACGATAATTTTTGTCAGAAAAAATATCGTCGCTAATAATGTCCTAATATTGTCGCTATATGTTCGAATGTCGTCACAATAATAACTCTTATTGTGACGGTATTTTTATAACGACAAAAATTATCGTCACTAAAAATGATTATTCTTGTAGTGTGTTTGGTGCTATTTCCAATAAAAAGACAAAATTGGAAAAGAAAATTGTTGAATCAGAGGTGGAGGAGGCCAATCAATTGGCCCCAAAGTGATAAATGAAGAAGGAAAAAATGCCTATGTTCCATAAAAATCTCTGTTCAATGACTAAATTCCAGGGTGAGAAGAAGCATGCCAAAACAACACTTAAACCTCAAACAATATATCCATTTGTTTCCTTTCGACCAACAAAGATAATTTGGTTTCTTTAAGTAGATAATCTAAAATATTATGTCCCTTTTTTCCCTCTTATAATTGGATGACTATCAAAATATTATAAAACTAAACTTCGAATTAACTTAAACTAAAACTGCGCTTCCAAACTACGGCATTACTCAGTCCAAATGGCCATGAAAAACAAACATTAAGGGAAGTCTTAAAGACCAAATACAGGAGATTCAAGCAGGAAAGTAAATGGAAAGTCAAGTTTCTATATAACAACAGTTACCTCTCCACCAGACGCTGCCACAAAGAAACACCCCCGAGAAAAGTATCCGCACCGTTAACCAGCTTACACGAGTTCGGTCTCTCTTTTGCAATCGAGTGCTCTCTTCCGCAAGCCTGCAAATTCCTTCTTCCGCGCGCGTGAGATTTTCCGTGACCTCGAGAGTGCTCCTGCTGCACCAGGACCCATGACCACGCGAGATATTCCGCGACCTCGAGAGTGCGGCTGCTGCGCCCGCGCCTCGCGCCCTGCTCCGCGATGTTGAGAGTGTCGTGCCCCGCGCCTATGCGTGCTAGCGCACGCCCGCGCCAAGCGGGCCATTCCGCGACCACGCGAGTGCTCCCACGCCCTGCCAGCACCTGCCAACTCGCGACCGCGCGGAAATTTTCGAGACCTATTTACAATAGGTCCGTAGTATTGAAGTATTTTCTACCATACTTTCTTTAATAGTAAGTCAATCCAATTAATTACAAAGTTAAAGTTATTATTAGATTATTTCATCAACCTCTTTCAATATACATAGATATAGATTTTACCACAATAATTATTTTATGGAATCACATTGTCGTCAAATCGAATTTCTAAATTTAAGTTTTTAAATTACACTTATTTTTAAATGAATATAATGTATTTCATTATCAGTTACGTGCACCGTACAAGTTGTGTACAAATTTTAAATAGACATGTTTTATATATGTGTCATAACATTTTCAATAAATTAAAATAGGTAAATTGTATTACATATTGATTCTGTACTTTTAATTTATAAATATTATCTAATGAGCATTTTTAATTTATAAATATTAATGAGTATCTTACTCGTGCATCGCACGGGATTCATACTAGTTGAGATTACAAAAATGATAATAAGAGGAGAAGTTTGTGGTACATATTAATAAACTAAAAACTATGAGAAAAGAAGTAAAATTGAGTGTAGTAAATCAAAATGATTAATTAAATAAATAAGAAAGCTTCAAGTTCCGTCTACACCTTTGACCGACTCATCTAATTCATTATAGTATCGAACTTCGTTATCTAATGAAATTCCTAGCTCTAGATAGCAACACACTCTGCTACTTGAATTTTTCCTTACAATATATTTAGCCGAAACACGCTTCTTCAATTAAACTTAACTATTGGACAATCTAGAACACGCTCACTAGATTTAATGCAGTAGTAGCTTTAGAATCTAAGAAAATATGCTAGTCTAAGTAGTAAACTCAAATGCCAGGTTTACTAAATTAGGTTGTGTTATTTTCGATAATTTCCATTTATCGTTCGTACTAACGAATCAAACACATCAGCAATTATGGATTGAAAATTAAACTCTAGCTATAGATATAAAAGGCTCTATCTAGATGATCAATTTGTATAAGACTAAACAAATCTTAATTCATCAACAAAAATAAAACGCACAACGTCATAAATATAATAAAATTATCAACCGAGAAAACTAATAATTGTCAAGTCGTACATAGTTTTAAATGGCGAATGGCGAGGCGAGGCGATTGGCCCATTGCCTCGCCACGAGGCGAGGCGAATCGCCATGGCGAGGCCTCGGCAACACTATATATATAAATATATAATATATACACACACACACACATTTACACACACACATTTAAGTTCAAGTACCAACAATAACCTTAAATATTCTAAAATAGATAATATATATTAAATTTAGTTGTAATTACTAAAAGCATCTAAAACTTAAATGTGAATGCTAGTAACATTACAAAGCAAAAATATTGAATTTACACTGTGTAGTAAACATAAAATAGAAAAAAGTTAAAGAAGGCAAATAAAAAGTGTAAAATAAAAGTAAATGAAAGAAAAGATGCTGCACCCTTTCACCTTAGACTATTGATCATACTAGTAAACATAAATATAGTAAAAAATGAAGAGAGAAGAAAAAGAGACGGCAAAAACGGGAACAGGAAAAAGAGAAAGGGAAAAGGAAAACAAATGAAAAGGCATGCATCACCGTCCGTCTTGGCGGTGCGAGATGGTGGCCGGAGTTCAGAGGAGGCCGAAAATAGGATGAGTCGGCCATGAGTTTATACAATTTTCAAATCCGAGAAGCCTAGGGAGTTCTTTCGTAGAAGTCCTAGTTTGGGGAGAAGCTATATAGAGATTTTTCACTAAAGTATTTTTGCTTTCGATCTGTTTTAATTTTATTCTTTTTCCAAAAAGTGTCGCTTTTTTTTCTTTTTTTTTTTTTTTATGGACTGCCGCTTTAATTCCTCTGAAAGGCGCCGAGGCGCGCCTCACAGGCGCCTCTCACCACACGAAAAGGCGAGCCGAGGCGACCTGAAGCGAGCGCCTCGCGAACAGGGTCGCCTCAGGTAGTGGCGAGGCGAAGTGGCCCTCGCCTCGGTCGCCTCGCCTCGAGGCGTCGCCATTTTAAACTATGAAGTCGTAGGGTTCGACTATCCCGAAATTAGAATTAAAGTACTAGCCACCTATAGTATTCTTAAAAATGATCATGAAATTATTTACACCAGAAAGAAAAGAAAGAAAAGGTTGTTCTTTTGTAGCCTCGAAGTCGGCACATCTGTTTCTTGCTTTCCAATTCAACAACCTTCTCCAAGTCTACAAGTCCAATTATCCCCCTCAAAAAGGCAAAATCTAATTGGCTATTTGACCCTAATCTTCCCAGGGCATCACCAAGCCCGCTGCTCAAGCATAAAATATCTGGGCCAAACTATTTATTGCTTTTTCCATGGGCCAATATTGTGTGCATGGACTTTGTTGGGCTAGTATAGGGCAACCCCATACTGTGCGTCAAATGAAAGTTTGCCGAGCCCACGTCTATGCGTCCTGACTGAGAAAAACTCTCAAATACGCTAGAAAACACTAAATTTCGCATCAAAGCACGAGAATCACTCATAGTATCAAAAAAGTCGAAAAAATGCACAAGTACAAGAAACTAAACGTGCAAAATTGCGTTACAAGAACTTTAATGAATGCACGTTTTTCTACTAATCATGATAATTCTCAAGCTTCAAGCAAATTTGTCATCTCATCTTGTAATCACTCTCGTTTCTTCCTCTGCCAATAAAACACAAGATGGGTGGAATCCTCATGTACTGACATAAATAAATGAAATATATCCTCAACAATCAAACAATATAGAATGCATACAAGAATCAACATTTCTCAGCGCAAACTCTCCAAAGTGTATCCAAAGTGTAAAGGCTGAATATAAAAGTCAACGCTCAAGTCAAGACAAAAAAATCTTTACCATATGCTTGCAATTGCACCACGCCCACCACCTCCATAATGAGCATGAATCCACAAAAATAAAGGGCTATTCAATGGGATAGGCAAAACAACAATCTTAGGCTAATTGAATCGAACCAAAGCAATCATACGAACCTTCCCGAAAAGAGCTCAAAACATAAACATCTTGATGTCCAACTAAGAATGCATATCCAAACATAACTTGAACAATATTTATAACTACAAACAAGTTTTAATTAGAACCAATATTTACATACAACACTCGATAAATGAATTTCATTCATTCATTTATTCCTCGTTAACACTTCAAACCTCACATCTTTTATTCCACATACAAACCCAAGCAACACTGGCACAAACCCAACGTACATTATTGATAAATACATTCAACTTTAACAACGTCAATGCTCACAGCACTTCTTTATCCACCACCTGATTTAATCAATTATCAGTAGACATCTTGATCATGCCGGCACCCTCATTATCCCAAACAATTAACCATCATTTAGTCAAATACTTTCCACTGTAAAAAATCAGTTCAGCTCAGGCTTACACTATACTATAACAGGTATTTCATTAACTTTACATATCAACATCATAAATTACCCAAGAAATCTTCCAAAATTAGTTGATATATACAGGGATAGTTTAAATAAAATTATTTTTCATATGGTCTTATATTAGGAATGAAAACACCTGACATATGGTCTCGTAATAAATATGGCGACCATGTATGAAAACATAACCCCAAAGCAAATATGCATATGTTCCCTTAAAACCGTCTCAATGACTAACTTCCAGGGTGAGGAAGGTAGCACGCCAAAAACACACTTAATACTCAAACAATATCTTCATTTGTTTCCCTTTGTCCAACAAAAATAACTTTAAAGACAAAATACATGAGATACAAGAATGGAAAGTCAAGTTTCTATTTTACACCAGTTACCTCTCCACCCCACAAAGAAACATCCCTGAGAAGAATAGCCACGCCGTTAAACTGCTTAGGCGAGTTCGGTCTCTCTTTTGCAACCGAGTGCTCTCTTCCCCAGGTAAAAGTCCTCACCAATTTCACTCATATATGGTTCCACATATTCCTCAGAGAACTCCTTGTCTGCCAATCGGCAAACATATCCGAGAGAAGGCCACTCCTCGATCAGGCCCTTACTCTCCAGCTTCCCCAGAACCTCAAACCTCGGCTTGAGCCGCCTCTCGATGCTGAACATGAGCGCCCTCGGGTATTCAGCAATCGATGAGTTATCATATTTCTCAGTCCTGAGCATAATCGATTTCACCTTTCTCATCTTATCTTCCGAGACACAGAAAACGTTGGGGTCCCGTTGCAATGTCCTCATTATTTCGTCGTTCGAGAATTCAAGAATTTCCTGAAAAGCCAGCCGCTTGCGTTCCCAACTCCCGTTGGGCATCGAGCAAATGACACCGACAGCATAAACGGACATTTTTGAACTCCATGAAATACCCATTTTGTCTTTGGTGTCCAAGCATCTGATAAGAGTTTCTTGATTGTACAGTATGACCCACGGGTTATAATAGATGAGCCTGGAGACCTCGTCTTTTGTCATCCCATGGCTCAACAGAATCCGGATGTTGGGCAAAATGAGCTTTTCAAAATCGGTCAAAAGCAGCCGACCATTATGTCTCAGAACCTTGGCCACTTTCTTATTCGAACCCAACATGCCCTTTAACCAGGACAATGCGGGGATGATTTTATTTATCAGGCTGACGTGCAGAATCACTGGCGCTTTCGACACTACGGCGGCAATTTCTTCCGAGGAGAAGCCTAGGTCCTCGAATATCTTGATCTTGGGCTTGATGGTTCCCTCAAGATCGGCGGCGAGCACGTGGGGCCGGAGATTCAAGGTTCTCTCGAGCTGCGCTTTCGTGAAGCCCATCTGCACGAAGAAGGCGAGTACTGAATCGTATTTTTTCTGGCGGCCCACAGAAGCAACATCATGAGACAAACGGTGCTTGTGCGCCAACAAATAGTAAACCGAAGAAGTAGAGGGTTCGGTCTCACAGGCGGTGGATAAAGCGGAGACGGCGAGGGAACGTCGAGTTTTGAAAATCGCCGGTAACAAACGGGTGAGATTTATGCCCACAAGTGTTTGCAGCGCCATCTCTAATTAATTGAACGGAATCAATCGATTGAAAAGGGAAAATTACTCGCCTGAGCAAATGACGCGTTGTTCCCGAAAGCAAGGAGTGAATCGCTGGCTTCAGAATCGAGAATCAACGATGGTGGAGGGTTTCATGTTCTTCAAGTTGAAGATATTTTTTAAAAAAAAAAAAATAAAAACAAAAAACAGTGGCTAGTTTTGGTAAGAAATGAAAAGCTAAAAAGATCCACAGAAGTTGCCTTGCTGACATAAGTACGAATGCCATGAGATTTTGCGGCAGCTTGAAGCCGAGCATTCTTCTTCAGCTTGGACTGTAATGCTAATAACACGTCTGCTTCGCTTATGTTGTCAGTAAATTCAATTGCGTCATCTAACTTCAAGTGTTTCATCACTTGGATCACACTTGCCTCTGCAATCTATAACCTCCGTTCAAAATAGTGCAGCAGCTATATCACAATCACTTTATATTTCGTAAATACTTATTCATCAATTGATTCACAAGAAATATACTATCAACTGGCCGATTTCACATTTCATTTGACATGCATATAGTGATCCATCGGAATACCAATGATGATGGTTCTTACCCCATATAGAAATATACAGAGAGTATCTTTATCTTTATAAGAACCCTCTTCTGGGACAACTTTCTCATGGCAAAGGGAGCCATTGTTTATTTCATAATCATCTCCAATTTCACTATCCAAGTTCGACCCAGATACATCACGTGCAAGTAATTGTGGCTCCAATTCATCTGCTGACGCCTGATTTAGCTTCCTAACCTCAAAATTCGGGTTACGTCCTGAAAAACAAATGGAACAATTATTGCATACGCTTTTCAAGACGTTACAGGATAAGTAAGCATCATTTTCTCATACATAGAAGGAATCAAAAACCTAAAAGAACAGCATCCACTGTAGCTTCTAAACTACGATGAACACGTAATTCTGTTTATTGATGATAAGTTAGATCAACCATCTTACAGTTTATCACTAAGTTTTTAGTCTACAATTATATATAATGAGGGCAGATGTTAATATGTCTACCGCAGAGGTGACATGCACTCATTGGTGATGTATTTTTTTAAACATATTAACATCACCAATGAATGGATGTCACCTACGCGGTAGGCATATTAACACGTGTCCACCGTAGGTAGGGGAGCATTTCTATATATATAATTGCTGGCTAGTTTCATTAAATTTTATTCAACCAGCAATTAATAAAAATAGTTTTTTTAAAAAATCTTTATGACTCTCTTCAAAAGACGTTACAATATGTTTTATTTATTTATTCTTTTCTTTAAGGGTTAATTGCATAAAAAAAACCACCACCTTTTGTTTAATTGCAAATAAAACTCAACCTTTTCAATTTGACAAAAAAATACCTAACTTTTATTAAGTGCTGCAATTTTGTCTCGTCCGCCGGACCGCCGCCGCCAACCACCACCCGTCGCCGTCAACTTCGCCGAATATTGAAAATTTTTATATGATCTTGTAGCTCTCTTTCGTGCCGACAACATATCCGTGTTTCACGAAAAAATTTCGACGATAAGACGTCCAATTTTCCGGTCAAAGGTCGTAGATCTAAATTTTTTATGACCTTTGACCGAAAAATTGGATGTCTTATCGTCAAAATTTTTTCGTGAAACTCGGATATGTTGTTGGCACGGAGGAGAGCTACAGGAAATACAAAAATTTTCAATATCCGGCAAAGTTGGCGGCGGCGGGTGGCGGTTGGCGGTTGGCGGCGGCGGTCCGGCGAACAAGACAAAATTGCAACACTTAATAAAAGTTAGGTATTTTTTTGCCAAATTGAAAAGGTTGAGTTTTATTTGCAATTAAACAAAAGGTGGTGGTTTTTTATGCAATTAACCCTTTCTTTAATTTGTTTCATACATTTATTCGTCTACTTTTTACTATATTTTGGGTTTATAACGGTTGCATGGAATTACCATTTTTATAATTAACTTATAATTTTATTATTATAAATATAACCATATACACATAACTTATAATAATTTAATTATTTGTGCATGTGCACATGATCGAATACTAGTTATAGTTCATAGCTTGTGATTTAGAGCTAAAAAGTTAGTTTATATGATATAAGTGTTTAAAATTTGTTGATAAGCTAGCTTAAATAAAAATATATATAAAAACAAGTATTTACAATCATCAAAATAACTAGTAACAGGCTACTAAAACAATTAAACAACCATTAACACTCAATGAGGATCTTAAATGGACAAAGGAAGCTCGGACTAATAGGTAAACAAAGCTGAGAAAAGCGGCGCTTGTGGCAATTGTGTACTTCATTTGGAATGCGATAAATGGATTGATTTTTTAAGGGGAATCTCAATTTTCGAGTCTAGTCATCTGTATTATTCAAATCCATGTTTACCGTACAATCTTTGCGTTGTATCCAAATGTCCTTGCCGAATATGAGAGGAGTGTCCTTGGGTATGATAGGTATCCCCTTGGCGGGGGAAGAGGGGCATCGAGCCGAGAGTCGCATCATGACGCGCTTGGGGTTTTTGCATTTTTATTTTGCTTGGGACTTGAGTGAGCAATCAACATGTGGTTACTCTATTAGACTTATGACGTGTGAGTGAGGAGTCGTGCATGTGGTTGTTCACTACACTTCGTAGGTCGTCTGTCGGTCGTTCAAACACCAGTTTTGATTTATAAATTTACTTTTGTCGATAAAGAAAAAATTAAATAGTCGAATTCAAAGAGAGACATAAAATTCCCAAAAGTGGAGAAATCTACCTTCAATATTAGAGAATAAAATTCCAAAAACAACAATGAACACTAATGTGGACGAGGGCAGAGATCTTATGAACGCATACAACCAACAACGGCAAGCTCGTATCAAGCATAGTGGTAGCAACAGGCACGAGGAACACAACGAATTGGGGAACGGGCCATAGTAGTGATGAGCTCGGTCGATTGAGTTCAGAGAAGGAGCTATCCGTGTTTTGTTTATTTAAGAGGGTGATTTTGTCGACCCTCCCTGCGAAAAGGGAAAAAATCTCCATATCACCAATCTAAACCCTCGTCCTCTCAGTGTAAATTCAGGTGCCTTCGCCAGCGAGGCTCGCTGAGTGGTTGGTGGCGGCGCTCCCACTTTCGGGAATTTCTCCGTATGGAGGGGTTTTTCTCTACCGGGAAGGAGGGTGTGCTCGACCCGCGTCCCAATTTCTGCAGTCCTTATGGTGCTTAGATGGAGAGAAGGGTAGTCGTCTCCCTGGATTCTTCGTTGCGGCGGTCCTTAGGCGATCTCTTGGTGCGGGTTCTAGCCTCAATTTTTTCGATGGTGGGATAGGGGTGGAAATATCGCCACTACCCTCGATGTCCCCTTCGGCTCTGGTGTTGGGAGGAGGAGGCTGGCATTGGCAACCGAGGTTTGAGTTTCTCTTGTGGGGGAATTGGGTATGTGTTGTCGGTGAAGTGGTGCTGGGTGTATTGGCCTCCGAATGTCCTTACCGAATATGAGAGGAGTGTCCTTGAGTATGATAAGTATCCCTTGGCGGAGAGTCACATCACGAAGCACTTGGGGTTTTTACATTTTTATTTTGCTTGGGACTTGAGTGAGCAATTGAAATGTAGTTGGCCCCTTAGACTTATGATCTGTGAGTGAGGAGTTGTGCATGTGGCTGCCCACTACACTTCGTAGGCCGTCTGTCTGTCGTTCGAACACCAGTTTTGATCTATAAATTTACTTTGTCGATAAAATAAATTAAATAGTTGAATTCAAAGAGAGACCTAGAATTTCCACAGCTGAAGAATTATACCTTCAATATCAGAGAATAAGAATTCCAAAAACAACACTGAACACTAATGCAGACGAGGGCAGAGATCTTATGAATGCATACACCCAACAACAGCGAGCTCGTATCAAGCACAGTTGAAACAACAAGCACGAGGAAGACAACGAATTGGGGCAACGGACCACAGCAGTGGCGAGTTCGGGCGATTGAGTTCGGAGAAGGAGCTATCTGTGTTTTGTTTATTTAAGTGGATGATTCTATCGACCCTCATTGCGAAAAGGGGAAAAATTTCTATATCACCGATCTAAACCCTCGTCCTCTCTCAGTGTAAGTTTAGGCGCCTTCCACAGCGGGCCAGGCTCGCCGAGTGGTTGGTGGTTGCGCTCCTAGGCTGCGTGGCCCACTTTCAGAAGTTTCGCAGTATGGAGGGGTTTTTCTGCACCGGGTAGGAAGGTGTACTTGACCCACGTCCCGATTTATGTAGTTCTTATGGTGCTTAGACGGAGAGGAGGGTAGTCATCTCCCTTGATTTTTTTGTTGCAGCAGTCCTTAGGCGATCAATTTTCTCGATGGTAGGATTGGGGGAGAAATCTCACCCCTACCCTTAATGTCCCCTTCTGCTCTGGTGTTGGGCGGAGGAGACTGGCATTGGCAACTGAGGTCCGGGTTTCTCTTGTGGGGGGATTGGGTATGTGTTGTCGGTGAAGTGGTGCTGGCGTGTTGGTCTCCGAGTGTGTGTAGTGTTGTCCAGATGGATAGAAGTAGGGGTCGTCGGTGTAAGCCTAGTTAAGTGTTCTGTTTATTGTGTTTTTGTGCTTATTTTCGTGTGTTTTTCATGTTCTAGTTGAGTGATTTTAGGTTCGTTTTAGTGTCGATCGGTCCATTTTATCTCGTTTTGTGCATTTTTATTCCCTTATTGTGTTTTTGTGGTTACACATATTTTTCTTCTCTTTTTGGTAGTGAATAGGTCTATCATTACTATGCTTGTGGAAACAAGCTATTTCTGAGATATTTCTGAGTCGTTTGAACCATATCCTAGCCACACGAACCATTTCCGAGCCATTCCGAAAATATTTATTAATTGCGTGGTGACAACCATTTACACATCTCAATACAAGGAGAAGAAGATTTTAGAAGTGTGGGTCAAAGTTTCAAGTCGATCGGAGAAGCGTGCGAGAAGTTAGAGGGAATCGATCATCAATAGGTCACCGGGACCATTCCAGCTGCT